TCCTTTTTTAATAAAACTGGACACGTGGCTACTGTTGCTTTGGAGAATCGTTGTACTGTGAATCGTGATTGGTACACGACCATTTGTTTGCCGGAAGTTATTGACAAACTCCGTAAAAATAACCGTAAACGCACGTATCATCTTGCACCACGATAATGTCAGTTCTCACATGGCCAGACAGACAAATGAATTCTTGAATTTGCATTCCCCGCGATGCGATCTACAATAATCAAAGACCCATGTTTTTCTATGTATCCTAGAAATAGTAAATTGAAAAGTCTGGAATGCAGTAGTAAGTCACATTACTAGTCAATATTTTTTCACCGTAAACGCGTTAAGTGCGCTTGATGCCATTAGCTAAGTGCGAAGAATTTATTGTATTGAAAATTAACTATACGTGCAGTAATTAGATTTGATATCATTTTTCACAATATGTCGTTCGTAGTTTATTTGTGAGTATCAAAGCATAATTAATGGGGTTATATTACTACATGCTATTATCACTAGAAATTGCAAGTTATTATATTTTACGGTTAATATAAATGCAGTACTACTTACTGCGTTTATGCCTCGGTCGAACCGAAAATCGAATTCTTTGACCAACAAATAAACAACGAGTTCACGTGCGATGTGTTCAAGGAGATAGACAGATATAATACGTTGTTGCAAAAGCGAGACAATCAATGTTTTCACCGGCACACATTGACTTACAAATAAATGGACGACGGGTTTAATACAAAAACCACGAAAAAAATGTCCCAAGTCAACCTATTCGAAATTTAAATTGTAATGTCATCGCAGTATCGCGCTGTCAGTCGAACAAATGAAGACTAAAGCGGAGTTTGGCGCTCTGTATACGATTTTAGCGCCTTACAAGTGCGGACACTTTTTAGCGCGGACCCGACGTCCATATAATTGTAAGCCAATGCCGGCACATCAAAATTTTTCAAAATTAAAGCGCATGTGCATCGCTCGGGTACATGATACGGTTGTCAAAGGGAAGTATATATGCACATTTTAAAGACATTGTGGATAAGACGTTGTTGAGATTAAAGAAAATATAGCGTACATTTTTACAAAAGCCCCAAACAGAGTGAAATTTTGTCATCATAAAAAAACTTATGTCATATTGTTTATTTTTCAACTGTCACATGTCAGGTATGTTTTTACAGCGTTGCCAATGCCAATTGTCCAAAATCCCCAAAAATCACGGTTAAAATCCCCAAATTTGGGGAGAACAAAGTTCATATTCTCCACAAATTGCCCACATCTCGAGTTTTCACTATTTATTACAAATACATCGCTTAAAAATAATTATAATAAAGAATTAAGAAACTTAAAATAGAACCATATATTACGTTTGCTGTGAATGAAACAGAATGTAAAATGTAAAGCAAATTATAAAATCAGATGATCTTAAATCGTTTATTTATTTTAATGAGATTCAACACTAATCAAACTTTGAAAAATAATTTTTCTTTGCCTTACAAAATTAAGTAACTTAATTATTTTGTTGCGCATTTGGTGACACTATGGTCAATGTTAGAAAAAATCAATGAGTAAATTAAGTTTCAACCTATATTTCATATTTAAAGTTGACGAGTGCCGAGTGGTAAGTTGTGGTGTGGAAGTACCAACCGCTCGGCTTTGTTTATCAACAGCTGATTTCGTTTTTCTACATACCGGGGACGGTCCCGTTAGCGTTAATGAATTTTTTCATACGAATGAACCAATTTTGAAAACATTTATGCCACTCCTCCGTGACAATCTCCGAAACATATTTTTCATATTCTTCGACAGCTTCTTCAGGTGATAAAAATCGTTCAAGAAGTCACTCAATATATAAAAAAGTACATAGTTTACAGAATCGTAGTAAAAATGTGCAATTTTAATATATTTATATATATAATGAACAAAAAGTTTTCATTCTTAGGAATACATCACTGTAATAGTAAACTCAAACAATGCATTAATGCAGTAACCTCAATACTTACTGCGTTTATAGCGAGACTGAGGTAACTTACTGCGTTTTTATAAGGATTGATCACGTTTGAGAGGCGATATAAGTAAGCATATTTGCGTTCAATGCTGTTTTATTATTAAGAAACAGTTGATTTAAATAGAAGTGCCACCGTCCTTGATGATTTTGGTGTTGTTTCTTATAAGTAAAACAGTATAAATGTACTAGTTTGAAAAAATTTACACAAAATGACAAACCAAAAAGACCAATGTTTTTTATTAAACAAAATTTAAATTTTTAAAACTATTATAGGTAAGAGAATATATACTTATAAGAGTATATACCTATAACAATATATACCTATAACAATAAGGAATTGACAACGTATCAAATTAAACACAAAACTTTTCAAAACTATTGTATGTAATATTGAATATAACGGTAATAAGGTAACAAACTTTGCAGTATTAAAAACACAAATGTAAGTTTCTTAGTAAGCACTTCTTTCAAATAACTAAACTTAATAAAAGTACAGTCCTATCAAAACTTTAAAGAGGCACATTGTGAGATCATTAAAAAAACCTAGATTGTTTTAACAAGCACCAAAGGAACAAGTTCTTTCCAAGATATAATTGATCTTTATAAAATTTTGGCGCCATTTATAATAATCTCAGTGCAGAGTACTAAAAAACCGACCTCAAAAGTAAGTGGAATTACTTCTATTTGCTAAGTTTTATTGAAATATCTCCTAGTTCGCCACTATACAGGACATGACACTGGAGATAATAAAAATCGGTTCTCACTACTCAAAGTATATTGAGAGAAAAACGCCTTGAATTGGAGAAATAGCAAAATCAACCATTAAAGTAATTGCTCCTAAATTAAAGTGAGGCGCTATTTATAAAAATGAATCTTCATGCGTGAACAGCCACCCTTCGAGGTGGATGCTTTTCTTCAAAATGAAATCGGACTACTATGAAAGTACCCCCTGTCCAACAAAAAAAGAATCATGAAAATCGGTTCACAAATACCGGAGTTATTGCGTAATATACATACAAAAAAAGAAGAAAAAAAGAACATACAGACGAATTGTAAACCTCCTCCTTTTTTTAAGTCGGTTAAAAATGAAGGAAAGAAAAATCCTGTAATATTAATTTATACTTTGCACCTAACTTCGTTAAATAAAATATAATTCATCACATTATGGCATATTGAGAGATCATTAAAAGTTAAACGTACCGATTAAATATAATCTTTTAGATATTGAGGTAAAACTGTAATACTATACTAATATATTATACTTATATGTATAACTGAGGATAACAGTTTCTTTTATAATGGGTAAGGTATGTACATATTTTACGAAATAAAAGTTAAATTTTTATATATATATTTTTTTTATAACATCAAGGGACGGGACGAACAAGTCGTGCGCCTGATGGTAAGGTACACGCCTGTCCATAACTGTTACAGTGCCACTCAGAGCTTTAAATTGCAAAGATCTGAGGGGCACTACCACTGCGCCCGTCACCCTGAGACATAAGTTGACAAGTCCCATGTGCCTGTAATTACACCAGTGCCTGTAGTTTCAATATTTTATATAAGAATAACTTATTAAAAAAAAGTATGTCTCAGCTCATCGTCATTATTTTAAT